TAGGAGTAGGAGTAGAGTAGATCTCGACGAGTTCTTCAGCAAGTACGGTAACATCGATCCGGTCGACCTCCACTGCTTATTGTAAGTACCGTCACGGCTTATACCTCTGTTCGTACGGCTGCATCGATCCGGTCGACCTCCACTGCGACTCTGGTATAAGTTAGTTATCGACTCTTGCCTAGTTCAAGTATGGCTACATCGATCCGATCGACCCCCACTGCATGAACTAGATCAAGGTCAAGTTATCGGCTCTATCTTAGGATGACAGCCTTTGGTAGATTCATTAAGTTACCGATATTGCTTATTACTTTCATTATTTATCTAATTACAACAATATCATTCTGCCCGATTGGGATTGATCTAGATCGGCCTTATATCTTGTTTAGTCCATCGTTTGTTAATCTAAATTGATCTAATCTACACCTTAAACGATGAGTTATGTTTTATCGGCTGTTTTATGTCAATCCTGATCGTGCATAGCGTGCGGTTAAGGCGTGTTGCATCTTGAGTAGATTTATTGGCTAGCGAGAACCATTTCATGGCCCGTTATCATGGCTTGTGTGATTCTGTCTCACACCCCACTGTTAGCACCATGGAGTGGGGACCGTTATCTGGTAGATCTATTCCTGATAAGGCATGACTTTAACTGTGCGCTATGCCTGAATCGACTGTTTTAGCCGATATCGAGCGCTTTTCACGAACAGCTTGTATCACGAGACCGTTGAAGTAAAGATAGGTTGAAAGATATGTTAGCCCTAGGATCTTATTATTGTATTACGGCCTGCATGATTCTGCCTCATGCCCCGCTGATATTAATAATGAGTTAGGGTCATCGAGTCTATTGTTATTTCTACGGTCTGCATGATTCTGCCTCATGCCCCACTGGTCATATTGATAGATGAGATCTAACATGTTCATTAGATTTATCTTTATTAAACGATTAAGAGATGTTGAATTGTTTTTTTATATAAAAGGGGTTCGGTTAGTTATAATTATTGGCTCAGCACAGATCGATCATTGTTGACATCTTATTGCTATTGATTAATATCTGTTCGATCAATGATATTTTCCCTAAATGATAACCGATTCTTCTTATACAACCCAATGAGCTTTAATTGATTTATTCTCATGAATATGCTAGAATCGATTATTTAGTCGATCTTCTTTCATATCGGCTCTCATAGCCGCACATTCGGGACTGTCTGGCAACACCGACAAGTTCCGCCCTTAATTACTGATGAACTTTCTCTCCTTGTCAATTGCAGGGTCAAATTGACTGGCACACCTCAGGAGAAGCGCGCAGGATCGACCATCCCTGCGCTGAAGATAGGCGGATCTACTCCATCGAGCGGACCCTTCCGGCTTGCTGCGTGTGTCCTCTGCATGGGACGAGAATTCCGTGTCGACAACCATGTATATTTTTGTTGCTATAAGTGTCTGCTATATTATTTTAGTTGCAATACAAATAATTATATTTTATATTAATTTGCGTTCTTTTGATTGATGTTTAATTTGAACCATTTTATTAGATGGAAGACATGTTTCGGGAGCAGTTGTGGCGAAAATGGGGTCGTCCTAGAGAATTGTACCCCGACGAGTCTAGCAAAGATGCCCCTGTCCCTACTGACCTCCCTGTCCCTAACTGTGACTGTGGTCGTCCGACCGACGTGTTTCAATCTAGACTTCTGGACATGGCGGCTCATTGCTTCTACACATGCAGTTGTTTTAATGTAAATAATTGTTTTCGTATGTTTTTTTCTTTATTTGTATTACTAGGTTACTAATATTTTATTGGAATTTTATTGTATAGGCCCATGAGATGTGCTTTTTCTTTCAGTGGATCGACGGTGCAGACAAGTTTGACCCCAGATACCTCCTTTTCGACGATTGGAGAGGGCGACATCCACAAGAGCACTTCGAGCGATAGGTTCGACCTCCCCCTAACCCCCTCCAATGACGGCTAAGGAGAATCACTTAGCCGCAGTTAGACGACTCGAGGAACCTCCGCTGTGCGATTGCGGAGATCGAGCTGTGATAAACCCTAAGAATATGTTAGAGCTTGTGTGTCCAAACAAACACGAAGTAAGTAAAAAGTGTTTCTGTTTAAATGTTGAGCTATATGTGTTCATATACTAATGTCACCTTATTTAGGTGTTTTCAATGACGATCAAGGAGTGATTGTGTGGTCCTAAGAACCAATGGCCAGAAGAACCTCTAAAGGCAAAGTAAAAGAAGAAAGAAAGGTTAATTTATAAAGCACCTCCAGTCAAGTACGATTGTAGTGTTAAATCCAACTATGGTCTAGTCCCTTCGGAGCTTAGAATAGGCCATTATTGCGGCCATATGGTTGACTATGATGAGGTTGGTTATTTCTGTGGTAACCATGAAATTGTATTTTGTTTCTTTTGCTAAGACATATATGATATAATTTTTTGTTTGAACAGAGCACTAGAAAATACAGGTGAGAATGTTATGATGGTCAAGCTAAGTTCTTGGATAAACTGAAGGGGAAGCAAGTAATTGCACGGAAGGGGGATATGGACCTGACTACATCAACCTATTCATTAAACATCACAAAGACAAGATGCGTGAGTTTGCTAGACATCGTGGTATTTGTAACCCGATCGATATTGGGCTCGACAATGGGGATTGGAGAGACGGATGACATTAAAGGAGGAGAGGGCAAGGAAGGAGGCAAGGAATGAGACAAGAGTACAGATGCAGGTCTTGAATGAGCATGTTATTGCATTATGTGCCAGTGAGTGCTTGAAAGCCTTTTTTCGTTGCCTGATTTTAAATGTAATATAATCGTGTTGCTAACTAATTGCATTTTATACATTAAGGGATTGGATGCAACGAGGAACATGCTGCAGAGGTGGCTCGTGTAAGGTATGAGGAAAATAAGTTAGATGAGCACAGAAAATGAGCTGGTCGCACCGTTGAATCACCGATTGTGTTGTCTAATGAGAGGGACGAGGATGATGACGACACTGCCAGACTCAGCGAGCTCATCGCTCTAGCAGAGGCGGGCTTGCAGGCGAAGGAGGCTAAGGACAACACTGGTAGACTGGGTGAGCTCATCGCTCTAGCAGAGGCGAGCTTACAAGCGGAGGAGGCTGAGGACGGCACTGGCAGACTGAGCGAGCTCATCGCTCTAGCAGACGTGGGCTTGCAGGCGGAGGAGGCTGAGGACGACACTGGCAGACTGAGCGAGCTGATCGCTCTAGCAGAGGCGGGCTTGCAGGCGGAGGAGGCAGAGGACGACACTGGCAGACTGAGCGAGCTCATCACTCTAGCAGAGGCGGACTTGCAGGCGGAGGAGGCTGAGGACGGCACTGGCAGACTGAGCGTGCTCATCGCTCTAGCAGAGGCGGGATTGCCGGCGGAGGAGGATGACGACGCGTTCTTCACTCAGGCCGCAGAGGCCGCAGATGAAGGGGAGGCCGCTTACGATAGGCGACACGGAGGTTAGAGCAATGCAGGTGAGCCTAGCCACATGAACGAGGAGGAAGAGAGCGCGTTCTTGTCTTAGGCCGCAGATGAAGCGGAGGCCGCTTACTACAGGCGAAAGGCGGATCAGGGCAATGCAGGTGAGCCTAACCACAGCAACAGGGTTGTGGTTGAGGATTGATACTCGGATGACGAGTTGCTTACTCAGTATGTTTCTGACTGAGGATTTTTGATTGCGTCGTCTATTAGTTTCATGCTTTATTAATGATCAATGTAGATATGTACTAGAACTTTTATTGTGTTGTCTTGTTTTCCATTTGAACTATTGATATATTGTACCAATGTATCATGTACTCGGATTACCCATGGTCGATCTTAAGTGATCCCATCCGTTTGTATCATGCGTTGAGAATTTCTAAAACGAACAAAATCGAGTGAAATTATTTCGAATACGGTTCGGCAGTGGTTCTGTTACGCCATAGCACAGGTTCTGTCGCGCCATATCCCACGGCGCGGCAGTGACGCGCCAAGACCCATGGCGCGACAGCACCTAGACGCAGACAGAAGCCGACCAGCCTCAATTGCAACTGAACGGGAGCTGTTGTCGGTGCTGTAAACAACTACAAGTGCTGCCGCGACCGTGCACAAGTTGAAACGAATATGAAGCAAATAAATGGAGTCTGTGCGCAAGTTGACAAGTTGCCATATAACAATTTTATTGGTTCATGAGTCTGCAAGTTTCGGACGACAATATTTGTTCGACATAACCAACTAAGTCCTAGGAGTATAAGGATCCATCAGACGTCTTTTGGAAACCTCGTCGTCCGGTGGACGAAGGGGATCGTTGTACTCTACCTTAAGAAGGGGGTACATCTGGTGCGGCGTGGGAGGGGCCATCCGGTTACAAATTGATAAACAAAGGGTTAAAGTACTCAAATTAGCAATATTCAAATTAACATGAGGTAGCATTGCAAAATTTGAACTACTTGTTATGCAATACGAATACAGTATAAAATCACCTGCTGCCTTCGTCTTCTATGCCTGCTAGCCTTATGATCAGATTCTTTGCAAACGGAGCAAAGATTTCTACCACGGGTCTCGTTGAAGTCTTCCCCTTCTGTACATGTCTTCGCCGTACCTTCTCATAGCGTCCATATCCCCCTTAAGTCGTTTCTTCTTCCTCCTACCCTTCCCTACCTTCATTAGATCCAGATGCGGCACGTAGTCATAATCATTCGAAGCTCATCTTCCAAATACTAACGGTGTTCGAACAGAGATTAAGTGAGAGGTGTCATGGTTATCATGTTGACAATAGACGGACTGATGGTTCCGAGTAAAACTCCATGATGCATCCAAGTAAAAAATTAACAGTTCCAAGTTACATCCCAATCCATCCATGTGCAGAGGAATTACATTTATGCACGGTGCTCATCACTGCTGAAGTGAAAGAAGGACCACATCACCTACATACCCTTGCACGCACGCACGCATGCATGCCGACGCAGAGAGGAGGATCGCATCGGAGCTATACATGCATCTTTTATTAATTTCTACTTGAAGTAGTAGGGGAGGTCGAGCACGTAGAGGAGGAAGTAAGCCCAGAGCACGCCGGAGATGCCACCGAAGAAGAACCCTCCGGTGAACTTGGACCATCCGTCGGCGGTCTGCAGCTTGTCGGCCTCCTTCTTCCGTCCCGTGAGCGTGAGCGTGGGCGCCGTGGAGGGGTCCCCCTCGTTGAAGGACGCGACGCCGTACATGGTGAGGCAGACGCTGAGGATGGCGACGAGGCCCGCGGCGCCGAGCGCGCCCGCCTGGCCGTGCACGGGCGTGTTGCGGAGCGGGCCCGTGAGCGCGAACGGCCCCACGAGGAGGTAGCCGTGCGCCAGGCCCACCTCGATGCCCCGCAGCAGCGGGCTCACGGCGGTGCGGTACGCCGGCAGGTTGGAGAGGTACCACGCCACGAGCGGGCTCGAGGTGACCGGCGTCTCCAGGCTCCCGATGAACGGGTCGCCGTTGATGGGCTGCACCACCTGGTACGTTGCCTGCATGCATGCATGCACGAAATCGAGTAGTAAGCAGCTAGGATTCTGAAATGGATGACACAATTCGCGTGTTCGATCTTTTTGTCTACTTAGTACTTAGTGCTGATCGACTGACCTTCTCGGGCTGGATGGCACTGACGGTGAACCGGGGCCGCCTGGTGAGCGCAGCGCCTGACAGACCCCTCGGCCTCGAGTGCACCAGGCTGCTCTTCATCACCTGGCTCGCCATGGGAGCGTAAGCTGTAGCCATCTCGACCTGCTACTCGCACACGCACGGATCGGATCGGCTCTGCCCTGCAAAATGGTAGCGGAGGGTCGTCTCCTTGTGATCTTTAGGACAAAATCCGTGGCGCGTGTGTGGATGGACGGGGCCCTGCTGGCGTGATATGGCTCGGGCCTGTGTGGCTCTCGTTGGGCAGCGAGAGTGAGCTAACCCTATCCCTTATCCGATCCGAACGAATGCGTGGAGTACAACTCCCTCCACTCCATTGGCGTCCCGCCACGTGGAAACAGAATCTGCAGTGGCAGTGGCAGTGGGAGTGGATCGTTGTATTTTTCGCGTTCCCCTGCATACTGAAGGGAGTAGAGCTAGAGCACCGATAAAAAACAGACTGTATATAAATATAAATATAAACCCAGCCAAGAGCCAAAGTGACTAACGCAGCTGGTGTTGGTTGAAGTGCAGTTGTGAGAGGATGACGCCGATCACAGCAACAACATATATGTGAACCGCCTAGACCCAATTTAAAAAAATTATTAACACGGTGGTCTCTGATACTCCCTCCGTTCCTTTTTAACAGTTGTTCTTACTTTTTTCTGAAGTCAAACGTACTCAACGTTGACTAAATATATAAAAAATATTAGTATTTATGGTATATAATTTATATCACTAGATAGACTGTTTGAATCTATTTTTATAATAAAGTCATTTGGAGATACACATATTGCTAATATTTTCTACAAATCTAATTAAACTTAAGAAAGTTTGACCAGCGTGAATACCTTAGCAACAATTAAAAAGGGATAGAGGGAGTATGTATACTGAACATCGCCCAGGACCAACACGCATATCGTCGACGCATCATGGCAACAGTTAAAAACATACATAAGAGGGAGTGGGTTTAAAACTTTTAATTAAAAGTCTTGATTATATTAAAACTCTTCAAATTAAAATTTACTCCATATAAGCTTATGGATCATGTATTCGATATCTACATATAGAAAGTTAGGGTGGCATCAAAGTTAAGTATTATTAGTTGAGCTTAACCATCTGTCGGGGATCAATATTAGGGTACCCAAAGAGGATGAGCTAATGACCATCGAACGTTGATTCAACCGCGCGATCAAGAGCGCGACTACACCGCTTGCCGGGACACTCCTCGTCCACCCACCGAGACCATGGGCCCCGCCCCAAGCTGACTCTCGATGGATGGCTCCACCTTGCCCGGCATCTAAGGGCAGACTCCGTCTCGCCCGACCCCCGGGGGCTGGCTCCGCCATGCCCGACATCTGAGGGCAGACTCCGCATCGCCCGACCCCCAGGGGCTGGCTCCGCCTCGCCCAACGTTTGAGGGCAGACTCCGCATCGCTCGACCCCTGGGGGCTGGCTCCGCCTCGCCCGACGTCTGGGAGCAGACTCCGCCTCGCCCAACGTCCTGAGGGCAGACTCCGACTCGTCCGACCCTCAGGGGCTCGCTCCGCCTCGCCCGACATCTGGGAGTAGACTCACGCCCGACGTCCAGGGATCGCGCTCGCCGCCCGACGCTCGAGGGCGACTCCGCCGACCGATGATCGGGGGGCTACGCCTCGCCCGACGTCCGGGGGCTGGCTCCGCCTCGCCCGACGTCGAGGGTGGCTCCGCCTCACTCGACGTCTATGCGCTGCTCCTTCATAACTACGCTCTTAGATAAGGCAGGACACTCAAGTCAACCGTAATACCGAGGACCATACCGTGCACGCCTGTAGGAAAGTACCATCAGGATATGACAAGACGGACGCTTTAAAGCCCTTCCGGGCATGTCAGAACCCGAACAGTGTTGTGGGCGCCGACATTTGTCTTACAGTGTTGTGGGCGCCACCATTTGCCCTCGGGCGTGGATCCTGATGGAACAATATGACAACCACTACGGTCCAGGAGGAGACTCGCGTCCTCTACAGTGACGGACGTGCGGTCACTGCGCCGTTCGTTCCCCATAGGGTCATGGATCAACACCCTGGTCCATCGCACCGCCTGCCGGGGCGGGATGGGACATGACCACTTGCTCATCAAGCCAGAGTGTGGCATCATCAGCGGATAGACGCCCAGTATAGAGCTATCCCTGGCACCGTCTGCCATGTCAGCAGGGCTCGCTCAGAAGAAAAGGAAGACCCGGCACCTTCGATGGTCCTTCTTTGCCTCTTATTTTTCTTCTTCCTCCCATCTATAATCCCTGCTTCCCCTTAGTGTATAAAAGGGAAGGCAAGGCACCCCACTAGGGGGGAAAAAAACACACCATGGATCACATCACACAGAACTGAGCAGCAACCAAGCTCTCAGCGCCCATTCGACCTTTTCATCAAAGACTTGGGATCTTTCCCTCTCTCGCCCATTTGTAACCCCTACTATGAACTTTTCAGTGCAAATAACACGAGTAGCAGCCACGAACTGGACATAGGGACATTCTGCCCGAATCAATATAAACCTTGTGTCTTTTTAGCACACCATCCGGGCCGGACGAGCAACAATACAAATTTACTAGTTGGTGTTTACTCAAAATACCGACAGTTGGCGCGCTAGGTAGGGGACCTTTGCGTGTTTCAACATTAAAATCAGGCCACGGATGGCTAGCCACGATATCAGCTGGATCCTGGGCGCACACGTGCGTTTCGGAGACCTAGACTTCATCATCACGGTGGGGGGAGAGTTGGCATTGGCTCACGCCGCCATCCAACCCTCTCCCTCCATCGGCCTTGACTATGAGAGGCTTGAGTGCTAGCTCGGCATCTCCCTAGGACCCTAGCCGTCTAGGGAGGACCCATCGTTGTCTCCCCTTCTCTAACGCCAACATCATGGCATGGCTCGCCGGAGGGGAACCCCTCTATCTAGAACACCTTATATGGAGCGTCCTGACAGTGCTTCCGTTCGGTCTCCGCAACACCACGGCGATCGTTAGCCACCTTGTGGCACAACGCATGGTCCCACCGCCCATGAACGATGAATTCATGGGGGTGATCGAACATGTCGTGGAATCTTTCCATGGCCTCATATCAGAAGAGCCAGAGTCGCCCTCTGGCTCTGACTCCAGCAGGGGAAGCCATCACCCCTCTCGTGAATGCTTCATGATGGGTACCCCCAAGGGGCACATCAAAAGCGTCCACGAGGGGGAGGCTACCCCAACAAACGGCCTCGACGACGAGGCCGAGTGGGAGACAGCGGCCCCGCCATGCATGTCGGTGGAGCAGCTGAAAGCCTAACACCGAGATATCGAGGAAGCACGACTACAGCTCGAGTAGGAATGCGCGGAGCTCGATCGGGAGATCGAACGCCGTGGAGACGGTGGGCGCGCCCACGCCATGGCCCGTGATGTGAACCGGAGGATCATCGCCGACGATGAAGCCCTCCCTTGCTTCACTCGGGCAAGCCAAAACATCACCACCGCGGTGGCCTTGCTCCATGGCCTTCCAGAGGCCGCGACGCCCGAGGATCGTCGGGCCCACCACAAGATTCGCACACTGCTCGAGCGTGCGACGGTGCTGCAGGCCAAAAGCTCATTGTCTCGACGATGCGAGGTTGACGCTAGCCAGCGCACACCCTCGGAGCATCCCGTTAGGGACGCGTCGGTCCACCAGGAACCACAAGGAAGTAGGCAGCACACAGCGGTCTCGGTGCGTCAGCGTCTTGGCCACAACCGTGACGCGCACAACACCCTCGACGCCCGTAGACGCGCCTACGATGACCCGAGGGAGGGAGCCAGACACGGCTATCACCCTCGTCATGCTGGACGCTACGACAGCGGCAAGGACCGAAGCTTGAGCCCCGGCCTACTGGGGCCTCAGGCCTTCGACGGACACATCCTCAACACTGCCTTCCCGCCAAGGTACCAACCACCAACCAATATCCCGAAGTACTCTGGGGAAACAAATCCTGGACTATGGCTTGAAGACTATCGGCTTGCCTGCCAAGCCGGTGGTGCAGATAATGACGACTTCAATATCCGCAACCTTCCATTGTTCTTGGCCGATTCGGCAAGAACCTGGTTGGAACACCTTTCGCCTAACAGAATCCAAAGTTGGGCGGACTTGAAGGAGATCTTCGTGGGAAACTTCCAGGGCACATACAAGCGCCCTAGAAACTCGTGGGACCTCAAGAACTATCGGTAGAAGGCCGAAGAAACCCTCCGTGGGTACATCCGGTGCTTCTTCCGGCAATGCAACAAGCTCCCTAACATCGCCGACATCGATGTTATAGGAGCTTTCTTGTCCGGGACCACCTGCGAGTCTCTGGTTCACAAGCTAGGACATAAGGGCGCGTGAACCACCAAGGAACTCCTGGGACATCGCCACTAGTCACGCCTCAGGCGAAGAAGCGGTCGGAGCCATCTTCGATCGCCTTGATGGTAAGGTGAGGTGAGATGAGGACGCCGGTGAAGGCACCTCCAATCATCCTGCCAAAAAGAAGAACAAGAAGCAACGGCGTGAGGGCTTGCTCGTGGTGGCCACTAACCGAAGAGGTGGTTGGAAGCCCATGGAGGGCACTCCGAACCATTTCAAAAAACTACTCAAGGGGCCATGCCCAAACCATGCTTTTCGGTCAAGCATTTGTACAAGGTTTGCAACCTCATGTAGCGGTTCTTGTCCGGAGGCTCCAACAAAGGGTAGCACGGGAAGGACCCTGACCCCACCGTGGATGACGCCGAGGAGAAGGACGATGGCTTTCTAACACCGGATGGCTGCCTCATGATCTTCCGAGGACCGGAGGCCTATGACTCCAAGCGCCGCTAGAAGATCGCATGACGTGAGGTCTATGCGATCGAACCGGCCACACCCACCTTCCTCCGGTGGTCGGAATCCGCTATAACCTTCGACCGGACCGACCACTTGGGAGCGTCCCGCAACCTAGGAGATATCCCTCTCGTGGTCGACCCGATCATCGGTATGAAGTGCCTCACCAAGGTACCGATGGATGGGGGTAGCGGCCTCAACATCCTATACGCCGAGACGCTCAACACCATGGGCATCGACCGAGCATGCGTCCGGCCGACCGGAGCGCCT